CTCAGACCCAAGATCTCTGCTCATACCAGATTCTTCGGAAAATACATAGTTACAAACACTATTCTGTCCTGAATATGTTTAGCAGATTCAGGACAAAATCTGCTGAATGTGTGGTTTGCTTCTTCTATTCACATTCTCCACAAAAGAAAATGATAAAATCGGAGAAAATCAGTAGCTGGTTTTAAAGGGTATCGTGTAAGAGCTTTGATATTTGTCCATTAACATCTTGAACAGATTAAAAAATTAACCAGCTTTTTACACAAATACTATTTATTTTCATTTTCTGTGTATATAAATCAGGAATAATATTTTCTGTATACAATTTAATAATTGTATAAAAGAATGTTATGATACATCGTTTTTCTGTGCATTTCTAATGATTATCTTGGTGCACATTATTTGCACATTTTACTAGATGTAACCATACCATCTTTGTGCACTGGTTAAACCAATGCTGTTTTATTTTAAACTACCCTTATCTTGCTTTCATTTTCCTTTTTTATTTCCCATACAGTTTATAAGGTCACTGTTACATGATCCTCCTGGCAGGGATTATGTTAAATACATACTTGCAGCTTCAGGAAGGTGTCATCGTTACCATGGTAATGGGATATGTGAGAGAAAAGGACGATTTCCCTTGGGATTGTTTGGGAGCAGGGGGAGCTTAGTGTTTAAAGTCTACCACAACTGACACTATTTGATAATTAAAATTATTCAGTGAAGCAGAGCGGTCACGGTCCTGTTTTTGAACCTACCCCTTAAATGTCTTGTTCAGTAAAGCTGATAATGAATAATTTGCACTGTGTGAATGTATAAGTACATTTCTTGGAAGTTCTCTGGACATATTACTGCTAAGCAACTCCACATAGAGGCAGTCAAGTGACAATTTTGATTCATGCCCCTGATTTATAGGGTAAAATATGCAATTTGAGAAATATAAATAGGCACTTTTCCTGTAGTTTAGACAACTTAAGGTCACATGCACTCAGTTCTAAATTCTACTAAAGAAATTGCATTGTGGGAGTTCTCCTGAGTGGTCCTGATGTGCACGCATGTGCATAAAATCCTAAAATATGTAGGTTTGCATTTATTTGTGATTTCATTTATGAATAGATATTAGTCAGTCATCCAAGAATTGCGCATTACTTCAATGATAACTTAGCAAAAGAGCAAAAGTGTTTAATTTACCTTAGAAAGCAACAGGAAATTTAGAAAGTAGTGTATATTTTTCTAGTGCATTGTTTATGTCTAATATAATGTAAACAATTTCACGCTGGGCACACCCTAGTGGTTATGGTGCTTGGAGTTTTCAAATTTAAATTGTAAACCATTTAGTGGTTATGGTCCTTGAAGTGTTTCTTTAATATCAGGTGTCTGGTACATACCGTAGCTTAAAAAATTTACTTCTTTGAAAAAATAACTTTTAATATGTTACATGCTAAACGTTATTGGATTCTCCAGTATTACAGGATGTTTGGTTCAGTTTACATGGCCTCCATCCACTGAGCTGCTGCGTTTCCTGAGTATTCTACAAACAGCAATTGACCTGACTGTTTGATTCTCTCGCATCAACCTATTATAGACTTCTTAGAGGAAGATCGATGACCAATGATCGCTTATTTGTGATATTTTATTCTCCAGTAAATATCTGTAAAACTGAAGTACTTTTCAAACTTTACAAAGTATCATATATTAATACATACATTAACACGTCAAAAGTACATTTTCAGAATAGTTCCCCTTTAAGCTAGACTGCAGTAAAGGTGTTTATGTAATTGAATTACTGTTTAATACATTTATGGGAATTATAAAAGGTTATTCATCCATTAAACCACAGCCGCTGGAAACACATGACTGGCACAGCTACCTATGCATTAATAATTGTATTTCTCTTACAGAAGGCATACAGACTTTCTTGTGATTTATTGGACATGCTCTGACATATTGTCCATAAAAGGGTTATTATACCATTCTTTGCTCCCCACCTTCCCAGCCATTATCCTAATATCCCACGGTGTAGAACTGAAGGTTGATTGAGAAAGTGATATTTGGGTAGGTTGATTCATTACAGAAATCATCATATAGAATCTTCTGCTGATATGTTAATTACCTTCACTGGTATGTGACCTTGAGAAACAATGAAATGTTTAACCTTTGTCCCACATTGTGTCTGACATTCTGAATACTGCCCAGATGTTCTACTATTGAACTGATGTCGGGTAGATTTTAGAATGCAGGGCTGCCAGTTGTGAAGCACTCAGAGGACCACTCAGAGAATGCATCTTCGTTTATGAGCATACGTGTCCCCCTTTGCAACTTATTTTAGATGCATCTTTTTTAGTTACTATTTTTTTTAGTTACTATTATTATTAACTATTAATCCATGGATGTTGTATTGTATTTTACAGTTCTTTGAATGCTACTTGGCTTTTTAAGGAAATTATTCTCTAAAAATCATTATTCTCAGTTGTGTAGAACGGCGCCATTAAATTCATGGCCCGAGGCAAGCTCTGTAATTGTATTACAGAAAATGAATAATTTGGGAAAGGGATCTGCAGCAAATTCCCCCACATATTTCTACTCCTGATAGTCAGGCTTATCTGCCTGCCGAAGTAATTAAATCTAATATGTGTTTTGAGGTCATTGATGTGGCAAAGTGCTAAATGGGCAATTTATTTCACCAGACGTGGCGAAATTCTGACTGTAAATGTCCTAAATTACAGTTCATACTAGTAGATTGTTAAGGACAAGTGCAAACTGTTAACCAATGTATGTTTCTGCTGTATCAAGATTCAAAACTGCAATTATTGTCCCCCTAGCAGAGATGACAGTAGGGGAGTGCAACGGATAGATCTGGGGTTGATATCAAGACTAGAGTTGTTACTACTTGCAATTCATCATCCATCTTTTGTTTGATTTAATTTATTACAGTACTAAATCATCTCCTGTAACAATTAATGCTGCCCTAGAGGTTTGGTATACATTCTCCCTACAAATCCCTATAGGGTTTAGTGTATTAGATCAATAATTTAAGAATGTCTGGTCCCTCATTCTCTGAATCTGAGTGATTTGTAGTTTTCCACATAAAATCACCATATTAGTGGAGATGAGCCATAATATTACTGCTGCTTCCTTGAAGTAAGCTTTGAAAGACCATAGCGGGAGATGCAGTAACGTATAATGACTCAACAATCTTTTGTGTATACAAAATCCAGATTAACGGAACAGCGCACACAAGAAAATACAATTTAAATTTTGCAAGAAATACAGTTTACAATCTTGTAAGGCTACTTAAAATCAGTCCAGGTGCCCCTCTGGAGCTGACCACAGGAAAGCATAAATGTGAGGAGAGTCTCTGGAAGCAGTTTAATCAGTAAGTGTTGCAATTTGCATGTTCATCTTCTAGGTTAAAATTAGCCTACCTATATTGGGGTACTGTGACGTAGTGGTGGACTTAACTCCATGTGACCATATAGTGTAATTTAATCCCTATTTTTGTTTGCTACTCTACGGCACACATTTTTGTTTATTGGCACTATAGGGTCTTTAGGTCCACCTCACCCTCAGAGTCCCACTCCTGCTGGGCTGAAGGGGTTAAAAGGTTAAAACCCCTTCAGCCACTTACCTTTCCCCAGCACCGGGCTCCCTCGGCGCTGGGGAACTCGCCTCCTCCTGCCAATGCAAGAGCCGCGCGCGCATTCAAACCGCTCATAGGAAAGCATTACTCAATGCTTTCCCAATGGACGTCAGCGGAAGCGCCTCTAGCGGCTGTCGGTGAGACAGCCACTAGAGGCTGGATTAACCCTAGTGTAAACATAGCAGTTTTATCTGAAACTGCTATGTTTACAGCTGCAGGGTTAACACTAGAGGGACCTGGCACCCAGACCACTTCATTGAGCTGAAGTGGTCTTGGTGCCTATAGTGATCCTTTAAGTTCTGTATTCTGATTTCTGCCAAGCTTCCAGTTACCACTTAGCTCAGGTTTAAAAAAGCAGAGGTATTTAGGTAAATTAACATTCAAATTAGAAAATGTCCTAGAGTTGCATTCACATTCCTCCATATTGTTGGATAAAAGAATAACTATTGTTATGTAGTTTGTACATAATATGCTCAATTCTAAACAAATTGTGTATAAAAAAGTAAATCCCTTACATTTACATGTTAGTTTGATTCAGGGGCGGACTGAGAGCCTTTGGGGCCCCCGGGCAAAATTAGATCCCAGGCCCTTTGAAGGCCAAATATATGTGCATTAAATAAATGTTAAATATAACTCATAATACAACATTCCTTTGGATGTGTATATTGTGAAGACCTGTGTATCAATGCATGTTTGTATTTGAGTCTGTGTGAATGCACTTGTGCATGTCGGGATGACTACATGTGCTTTTTTGTATATAGTGTCTGTGTGAATGCATATGTGACAGGTGACAGTGTGTGAGGGAGAAGGTGACAGGTGGAAGAGTGTGGGAGGTTGTGACAGGTGGCAGAGTGAGGGGGTACCTGGTGGCAGAGTGAGGGAGGGAGGGGTTGAGTGGTGGCAGAGTGAGGGGGAGACACAGTGAGTGGGGGTGACTAGTGACATAGGGAGGGAGAGGGGGTGACTAGTGACAGAGTTAGGGAATGGGTGACTAGTGGCAGAGTGAGGGAGGGAAAAGATGACTAGTGGCAGAGTGAGGGAGGGAAGGGGTGACTGGTGACAGAGTGAGGGGATGACTGGTGACAGAGTGAGGGAGTGACTAGTAACAGAGGGAGGGATTGACTAGTGACAGAGGGAGGGAGTGACTAGTGACAGAGGGAGGGAGGGGGTGACTGTCACTAGTCACTCCCTCCCTAACTCTGTCACTGTGTCACCCGCTCCCTCACTCTGTCACTAGTCACCCCCTCCCTCACTTTGTCACTAATCACCCCCTCTGTCCCTAGTCACCCTCTTCCACACTCTGTCACTAGTCACCCCATCCCTCTCTCTGTCACTAGTCACTCCCTCCCTAACTCTGTCACTGTGAAGGAAGGAAGGGGTGACTGGTGATAGAGTGAGGGGATGACTGGTGACAGAGTGAGGGAAGGGATGACTAGGGCAGAGTGACTGGTGACAGAGTGAGGGAATGACTGGTGACAGAGTGAGAGAGGGGGTGACTAGTGACCGAGTGAGGGAGGGAGTGGGTGACTAGTGACAGAGTGAGGAAGGGGGTGACACAGTGATAGTCACCCCATTCCTCCCTCTGTCACTAATCACCACCTCCCTCACCTCACTAGTCTCACTCTGTCACTAGTCACACCCTCCCTCTCTCTGTCACTAGTCACACCCTTACTCACTGTCACTAGTCACACCCTCCCTCTCTCTGTCACTAGTCACACCCTTACTCACTGTCACTAGTCACACCCTAGTCACACCCTCCCTCTCTCTGTCACTAGAGTAAGGGGGTGACTAGTGACAGAGTGAGGGGGTGACAGGTGACAGAGTGAGGGAAGGGGTGACTAGTGGCAGAGTGAGGGAAGGGAGGGGTGACTAGTGACAGAGTAAGGGGATGACTGGTGACAGAGTGAGGGAGGGGGTGACACAGTGATGGAGGGAGGTGGTGACTAGTGACAGAGTGAGGGAGGTGGTGACTGTCACTAGTCACCACCTCCCTCACTCTGTCCCTAGTCACCCCTCCCTCTGTCACTAGTCACCCCTTCCCTGCCTAACTGTCACTAGTCACACCCTCCCTCACTCTGTCACTAGAGTGATGGGGTGACTAGTGGCAGAGTGAGGGAAGGAAGGCGTGACTAGTGACAGAGTGAGGGGATGACTGGTGACAGAGTGAGGGAGGTGGTGACTAGTGACAGAGTGAGGGAGGTGGTGACTGTCACTAGTCAACCCATCCTTCCCTCTGTCACTAGTCACCCACTCCCGCACTCTCACTAGTCACCCCCTCCCTCTGTCACTGTGTCACCCCATCCCTCCCTCTGTCACTGTGTCACCCCATCCCTCCCTCTGTCACTGTGTCAGTCACCCCATCCCTCCCTCTGTCACTAGTCACTCTCTCCCTCACTCTGTCACTAGAGTAAGTGGGTGACTAGTGACAGAGTGAGGGAGGGGGTGACTAGTGACAGAGTAAGGGAGGGAAGGGGTGACAGAGTGAGTGAGGGAAGGGGTGACTAGTAACAGAGTGAGGGAGGGGGTTACTAGTGACACAGTGGGGGGGTGACTAGTGACAGTAGGGGGGTGACTAGTGACAGTGACGGGGGTGACTAGTAACACAGTAGGTGGGTGACTAGTGACAGTAGGGGGGTGACTAGTGACAGTGACGGGGGTGACTAGTAACACAGTATGTGGGTGACTAGTGACAGTGGGGGGGTGACTAGTGACAGTGAGGGGGGGTTGACTAGTGACAGTGAGGAGGGGTGACTAGTGTCAGTGAGGGGGTGACATGGGTGACTAGTGACGGTGGGGGGGTGACTAGTAACAGTGGGGGGGTGACTAGTGACGGGGGTGACTAGTAACAGTGGGGGGTGACTAGTGACAGGGAGGTGACTAGTAACAGTGCGGGGGTGACTAGTGACAGGGGGGTGACTAGTGACGGTGGGGGGGTGACTAGTAACAGTGGGGGGGTGACTAGTGACAGGGGGGTGACTAGTAACAGTGGGGGGTGACTAGTGACAGGGGGGTGACTAGTAACAGTGGGGGGTGGTGACTAGTGACGGGGGTGATTAGTGACAGAGGTGACTAAAGACGGGGGTGACTAGTGGGTGACTAGCAGTGGGGGAGGTGACTAGTGACAGGGGGGTGACTAGTAACAGTGGGGTGACTAGTGACAGGGGGGTGATTAGGACGGGGAGGGGGGTGATTAGAGCCTACCTGTGCTTCCTCTTCTCTCCCCTGGCTGCTGCTCCTTCCTCGCTGGGCTCTGTGTGAGAGGAGAGTACAGGAAGTGATGTCACTTCCTGGTCCCGCCTCCCATCACACAGAGCAATCAAGGACTGGAGAGAAGGAGACCGGCAGAGAGCTGGAGAAGCTGCCAGGTCCATGGGGGACTTGCAGAGCGGTAGGTTGTGGGGCCCCAAGCTGCATCAGGGGCCCCACAACCTATCAATTAAAAAGTTTTATTTTTTTTAATTTTGCCGTTCCAGTTGGAGAGATCTCTGATCTCTCCAGCTGGAGCATGGCTGTGCGGCCGGGCCCCTGACTGCCTCGGGCCCTCGGTCCATGACCGATGTGCCCGAGTGGTCAGTCCGCCCCTGGTTTGATTTTTATCCCAAGTCAATACTTTAGTTTTATGGGAAACTTGACAACACATATATAGTAATTTCATCAGATTGGTCCATGTGTGCTGGTTTTTAAAAAAATTCTTAGACAGTAAAAACTAAGTCTTCAAATTCTAATTACATTCTTCTTTTCTGATCCAGTCTTTGAAATTATCACATTTTTCCAGCACTTCCCATGTGAAATGTAATCCTTGGAAATCCGAAGCTATATGACGGAAAGTTGTGCACAGAAGATGTGATTAACTCGACCACAATAGGACGAGCTTAGCATTATTTGAAGCCCACAAGATGAACTTTCTATGATGTGGATAACAATTACTACACTCAGTGAAATTTATATATTACACATTCAAATACTGTTGTGTTTACAATTAGCTTACAATATTGGCTTTTAGCTAAAAGTATCATAATAATAATAATAATTAGCGATTTTTATAGCGCTTTTCTCCCTGTGAGACTCAAAGCACTTTACAAGTATACAAACATAAAGACATGAAAGTTAGGAGTTTCTGAAGGTCAGCTGGGCAGACTGAATGTCTGATGGAAGAGGTGGATGTTTATCTTTTTTTCTTAGAAAGTTTGTAAGGACGTTACCTCTCTTATTGCGCACGGTAAAGAGTTCCAGACGGTAGGTGCAGCGTGGCTGAGGGCCCTGGAACCAGAGTCTGTCTTTATTCTTGGCACTGACATGAAGGATTTGCTGGCTGACCAAAGTGAACGGGGTGGAATTTAGGGTGTCAGGAGCTATTTCAGGTACTGTGGGCTTTGATTGTTTAAGGCTTTGAAGGTTAGCAGGCCGATTTTAAAATATGTTCGCCATTTAATTGGAAGCCAATGCAGGGAGATTGGAGAACAGGTGTTATGTTGCAGGAGCAAGTTTTATTGGTCAGTAGTCTGGCTGCTGCATTTTGTACATTCTAAAGGCGATGAAGTTCTTTTTCTGAGAGGCCCAAGTAAAGTACATTGCAGTAATCTAGCCAAGACAATACAAATGCATAGATTAATGTTGGCATATCATCCTGTGGAATTAAGTGTTGTATCCTTGCTATTTTTTCGAGATGAAAGTAGGCATATTTTATTACGGAGGAAATCTGCTGTTTAATTGATAGTCCAGAGTCAAACACCACTCCAAGGTTTTGTACCTTTGATGAACTGATGAGTTCAGAGCCTCCAAGCTCTAGGCCATGATCATAGGATATTTTTGTTACCCCGGGTCCCCTCACCAAGAGTCACTCTGATTTGTCCGGGTTTACTTTAAGCCAACTAGCATTCATCCATTCTATGAGCTCTGCTAAGAAACTATTGATGCGGCATGTTGGGTCTGTGGTATATGGAGCAAAGGAGAAGTAGAGTTGTTTTTCATCATCGTAACAATGATACCTTAGACCATGTCACCTAATGATATCCTCTAATGGTAGCAAGTAAATTGTGAATAGCATGAAAGACAAGATGAATCTTTGTGGAACTCCGCAGGCCAGTTCTGTTGGTGCTGATGACGTTGATCCTGATGTTACTCTCTGTGATCTACCAGTGAGGAAAGATTTAAACCAGTTATGGACTGTGCCTCCTAGACCAAAGATGTGCTGCAAGTGCTCTATTAAAATCCTATGGTCAATGGTGTCAAATGCAGCTGAGAGATCCAAGAGGATTAGGATGGAATATATCCATCTTGGCTACTACTACTTATATTCCGATAAGTAGTAGCACTTGTCGTACTTACAGAATGTGATTTATTGTGTAAAACTCCAAACATGACACACAGTAAATGTGCAGTTCAATATTTCTAAACCACATGGTCTGTAGATTCAAAATGTTGAACTGCACATTTTCTGTATTGTCATATTTGGAGTTTGAAAAAATAATCTTTATAAAGACCTATTTTTATGTTTGCCCAATACACTATTAACCTTTTTCAAAATAAATCCTGTGAGTGCTCTCTCTTTTGTTCATCTTTGTATACTTTGTGCTGGGAAGCACCCAGTATATATATATATATATATATACACAGCTCAAAAATAACACATCCTAGATCTGAATGAATTAAATATTCTTCTGAAATACTTTGTTCTTTACATAGTTGAATGTGCTGACAACAAAATAACACTAAAATTAAAAAATGGAAATCAAATTTTTCAACCCATAGAGGTTTGGATTTGGAGTCACACTCAAAATTAAAGTGAAAACACACTACAGGCTGATCCTACTTTGATGTAATGTCCTTAAAACAAGTCAAAATGAGGCTCAGTAGTGTGTGTGGTCTCCACGTGCCTGTATGACCTCCCTGCAATGCCTGTGCATGCTCCTGATGAGGTGGCGGATGTTCTCCTTAGGAATCTCCTCCCAGACCTGGACTAAAGCATCTGCCAACTCCTGGAAGTCTGTGGTGCAACGTGACGTTGGTGGATGGAGCGAGACAAGATGTCCCAGATGTGCTCAACTGGATTCAGGTCTGGGGAACGGGCGGACCAGTCCATAGCATCAATGCCTTCTTCTTGCAGGAACTGCTGACACAATCCAGCCACATGAGGTCTAGCATTGTCTTGCATTAGGAGGAACCCAGGGCCAACCGCACCAGCATATGGTCTCACAAGGGGTCTGAGGATCTCATCTCGGTACCTAATGGCAGTCAGGATACATCTGGCGAGCACATGGAGGGCTGTGCGGTCCCCCAAAGAAATGCCACCACACACCATTACTGACCCACTGCCAAACTGGTCATGCTGGAGGATGTTGCAGGCAGCAGAACGTTCTCCTAGGCGTCTCCAGACTCTGTCACGTCTGTCACATGTGCTCAGTGTGAACCTGCTTTCATCTGTGAAGAGCACAGGGCGCCAATGGTGAATTTGCCAATCTTGGTGTTCTCTGGCAAATGCCAAACGTCCTGCACGGTGTTGGGCTGTAAGCACAACCCCCACCTGTGCACGTTGGACCCTCATACCACCCTCATGGAATCTGTTTCTGACCGTTTGAGCAGACACATGCACATTTGTGGCCTGCTGGAGGTAATTTTGCAGGGCTCTGGCAGTGCTCCTCCTTGCACAAAGGCAGAGGTAGCGGTCCTGCTGCTGGGTTGTTGCCCTCCTACGGCCTCCTCCGCGTCTCCTGATGTACTGGCCTGTCTCCTGGTAGCGCTTCCATGCTCTGGACACTATGCTGACAGACGCAACTTGCATTGATGTGCCATCCTGGATGAGCTGCACTACCTGAGCCACTTGTGTGGTTTGTAGACTCCGTCTCATGCTACCACTAGAGTGAAAGCACAGCCAGCATTCAAAAGTGACCAAAACATCAGCCAGGAAGCATAGGAACTGATAAGTGGTCTGTGATCACCACCTGCAGAACCACTCCTTTATTGGGAGTGTCTTGCTAATTGCCTATAATTTCCACCTGTTGTCTATCCCATTTGCACACCAGCATGTGAAATTGATTGTCACTCAGTGTTGCTTCCTAAGTGGAAAGTTTGATT